GTTTTTCGATGCGCGATAGACGTTGTTTTCACAAGTATTTTCTAAATATTTCAGTCATTTTACAAATTGACTGAATAATCCATTCATTTATTTAACCGACTGACTAAAAATGATAAAGACGATCAAAAGAGCTTAAACACATCACAATATATTAATTATGCTAAGAAAAAAAGCCAAACAATACAGAACTGTACTTGGTGATGATATTAAACATAAACAAATATTTGGAATTCGTTATCATATTAATAAAGATGGACATATTTTTCAGTTAATTTGTAAAATAAACTGAATATTTAGGCGTTTAATAAATTTCCTTAGTGAAATCTGTTTACATTTTGAATGTAAACATATACACACGGTAAAATAAGCAATGTTCAGATGAAATATTTACTTTGTGTTGCAAGTCAAAATAGTGTACACAAAGATTGCACAATTACCAAGCAAGTGACTTACCAAAACTGCATCACCATTACCGATGCTCCCCACAAATATACCTACATTTCCAAAACTGTATTTCATTTTTGTTGATTAATGTGACCATACGTCCTTCTACTTTCAATATAAATGCGCTTACAAATGGCGAGCACAGGTCGCGAACAAGTCTAGATTTCTGCTATATCATCCGGGTACTCACTGGGAAAATACAGTAATGCACAGGTAACAACTACTCCCGCGGAATTGCTTTACATCAGTGCTCCTTTGTACGTTGAAAAACTATATATTGTAAAATGCCAAAATGATGTATCAAGGATCAAGTAGAAGATACATTGACCGTAGCGCTGGGAGTTTATTCAACAGACCCGTGAAAATAACACTGCTGTATCTTATTATTTATTTTAGATGACGCAGTCAAAGCTCACTTCTCCTGGCGGCCATTATCGAACGGCCAGCTAAAACACAACCCCGCGCTTACGTCTACAGGTCTCTTCCTGTAGTACGGTAATTAGTATTCTCTCCCTCAAGTGTATCCTCAATGATATAACCAACCCTCATTAATTACATGCTGCTCTTTTCCAGCCTCACGGCTATGGAGCTGAGGTAAAGAGTCCAAGTTTATTAGGGTCCAATAAAAACAATGCGCCGCCAAACCTCATACATCATACATTATCCCTGAAAGTCGTACTACAGACGGTTAATGTCAAATCACAATAAAAGCATTTCAATTGCAATAACATGTTCCAGGACCATGTATTCTCTTAACACCATCGGATTTAGAAGCTATGGTCGTATAAAACAAGACAGATCTATTTAAACACAGAAGTATTCATGTTATTCCCACAAAATCACATAAAGAAAGGAGACATTAGCAAATACAGGTGTATTATCATGTTTCGTCAGGAAAACAAAATGTTCTCTCCTTGTTACCACCTCCAGGTTCAGCTTAAGACGGGTCCTCCTTTGGTCAAAAGTTTGTTCCCCCTCTAATGAGTGTGTCACGCGTTGCACACGAGTGGCGGACGGGGTGCACACGGGTATCACACGCGTGACCAACCCGATGCACACTGGTTGCGTAACGCGTTGCCCATGCGTGTAAGGGGAATGAATTTCTAGGCAGTAGTGTACATCCCTTGATGCTACCAATGCAACCCTTGAGATTATCAGACAGCTTTGCTGGACACAAACCGTGTGCGAAATACGCTACAGTTGGAAAGCGCACATTAAATCTCTATACCAGTCAGACACAAACTGATGTCTCCCTTGTAGCACACTATGTGTCAGACAAGGACTTTGACCACTCTGTGCAGATGCATATCAATGCATAAAGAACATTAGGTAGATGATTCAGTAATGTCACGCAAGTCAAAGTTGGGTTTCACTGTATTTAGAAACAGACGATGTATCAAAAACTTAATGCCAGTAATTATGATTGATTTAAACTTTGCCAGACCAATATTTTGGCAGATTAATCTTTATTAAGTTAATTTAAAAAAAAGATAGGATAAATGATAAAATGTGAGAATCTCTAGGGGAGGCTTATGACAAAATGGACAATAAAATATAAAGTGCTTTGCATTTTCTTTCAGGGAGGGTAGTGTCAATAATGAATGAGAACATACCGGTAATACATGACCGGCCCCTTTAATGTAATGTACATAGTGTTTAGTTGATGGTTCAGGTTGTACTTTTCAGTTGAATTTCTTATCACTGTCTATGTTGGACTACCAATTAAGGGTAGAGATTAAATATCCATAATAACTTAGATAAATACTTCTACAGTCTCATCCTAATTGGTCAAAAAATTGAATTTCAATATAGCTTCCAATAATGAATTTATGAATTTGGAGAGAATATCTATTGTCTGAAATCCTAATGTGCTTTCTATTGTATTTGGTGTGCTGGGGTAGCCTAGTGGGTAAAACAGTCTCTGAAACCCGGGTTTAATTCACCACATTGGTACGATGCGTGAAGCCCATAACTGGAATATTGCTAACAAGTTGCATGAAACTATACCAACTCACTTGCTCATTATGTTGTATTTTGAGATCACTTACATGACCTGTGTTTTGATTATTATGAATAGTTCTGTTTTTATTTATAAGAACCTATGTAAGTTATTTTTGCCTTGTCTTGTTTACCCTTCTTACATTTTGATGTACTGTAAACATTCAAGCAAAATTCAGGTGAACCTTGTGGTGCTTGTTCAAGAAGACCGGATACATTTTTGTATTTTCTGAACACTTTTCTGTTTGCAATGGCTTATTTACATGTTCAAAGATTGGTTAAATTTCAGTTGCAAGATAAATTGTCAATACCTCACTGTTCGAGAAAACATTTGTAAATATGTGTGTGTTTCATAATTTTTGAATAACAAGTTTCTAAAGATGTTATGAATTGTTTCAGGTACCTGAATTTCACAATCTGACACCAGCTACATTTAAGAAGATCTTGCCCACACAATTCAGACAAGGGACTCACCGGGTGATGAATAATCCTCCCGATATCAACCAACAGATTCATCTCAAAAAGTGATGATTCTGAATGAATAATGCCACATCAGTGTGACTGTAGGTGGTTAAATTATGACACTAATCAAGTCTGAATGAATTTATGCCTAAGCACTGAGACTATGTCCAGGTTGTGTACACCGACGCTGACTATACTTTTTGTGGTTTACTGCAGAAACATAATTGACTTTAGATATTTTTCTTCCATGGAATTCTTCTGAGATTTGACTAATTTGTTCATTTAGAAAATGGCATTGGTTACTTTATGCTAGTTCCTCTTCTTGCTTGATCAAATTTCAATTTGTGATATGTACTAATGAAATGCAATATAATCAATAAACAAGATTTTTTTCTCGTAAAAACATGATTTGTTTTGCTTCATTAGCATAAAGAAATATAATACTGATCAACCATAACATAGGTGCTGAACAAATATAAATTATACTTTTGCCCTGAATGTTTCTCACTATAAATACAGCTCACTTAACAAAAGTTGTAGGTCCACATTTGTAGACAAATGACATTGATATTTTTCTCTGTACTTTATTTAGGTGTTTTCTATGGATGCCATTAGTCTTATGCGCCAATTTGGGACAACTGTATTCTGTTTCATGTTCCCATGAAACTACACTGTCCAGATATAACAAGTACTGATACCGTCTAAACTAATCTTTTAATCTCACCAGGGCTAAATGACAAAGCACATAGCCAATGACTTTCCATTTTTTTCTGAGTGAGAATGCTGTTTTGCCACTTTTAGCAATATTGCAACAGTATCATGGTGGGGGACACCAGCAATAAGCTTCACAAATTGGACCCATGTCGCGAAACGAACTTGTGAACAATGCACTCCCACAGATCTCTGTTTTAGGAGGATATTACAATTAAAATAACACGGAATATTACAACAGCTATCTGATATGCACAGGCTAAAATTAATAACTAGAAACAAGACATGAAGAAAATTTGCATCTGGATACTTTCCAGAAACCTTCCAGATACCTTCAGGAACCTTCAAACTTCTTGGTATTTTCAAGATAATTTTGTTATGTGTTTCACTTAACAAAATGCACCCCCCAATTTTTTACATTGGTTGTGAAAGTTTTCCGGATGGTATCCGGCCTGGATCCAAAATGGGTAGATATCCGGAAGGTTTCAGGAAGACGGAAACCTGCACTTTCTTGCTGTGTTTGAAGCAATGTAACCAAATTACCCCTATTTGGCCCCACCCCTGAGCCCCTTGGGGAGTCAGCCCCACCATGTGTACAATTTTGAATCCCCACCACCTAGGGATGCTTCCAACCAAATATGGTTGATATCTATATCTTAGTTCGAAAGAAGAAGTCGTTTGAAGGAATATAGCCAAATTACCCCTATTTGGCCCCACCCCTCAGCTCCTTGGGGAGTCAGCCCCACCATTTGTACAATTTTGAATCTGCAACACCTAGGGATGCTTCCAGTCAAATTTCGTTAATTTTTTAATAAGTGGTTCAGAAGAAGAAGTCTTTAGAATAAATTGTTGATGTACGGACGACGGACGCAACGATATGGCATAAGCTCACCTTGGTCCGTCGGACATAGTGAGCTAATAATATTGAGTTTTGGTGTTGAAAACGCTAGATTGACGGAAAAGTGTACTCTTTGAAAACATTAGAAATATGTTTACTGCTATCACTTTCATAAGGTCATTAGATGAGATAGATGTTAACTGACAAGGAAATACAATTGTTCTATTTATTACATATTTTCTTTGTGACCTTCATGATCTTACTCTGAATCATTGATGAAGACGTTCCAGCACAAAGTGTTATTCCACTCCAGTAGGATGACAATTTCATGTTTTGAGATAAATATATTCCATCACTAAATATGCTAAATACATAATAAATGTATGATATTTACAGAAATAAATGTCTAAATTGACAACATCAAAAATGATGTAGGGGCGCTGTTACTTTCAAAATATACATCAACGACAATAAAACAAAACATGATGGCCAAAAACAGTTAAGTACTATAAGGGTCTTTCTCGTGAACATCAGAAACTGTTCTTACCTCTTTATCCAACTCAACTGGATACATCCAGTTCCCGACACTGGTTACCTGAAACAAATGTGAGACAAAACATTTAATATACTTAACAACAAATGTTTCTGTGACATTGGAAACGATTTAATGCAAATTTATGTTTTTTAACCAAATCTGAAACAATTTCGGTTTGCAACAGATAAAAGACTCCTTGTGTTTAAAGGTTTAATTTGCCATACTGACTTCAGAAAATGCTTGATTTCATAAAAAAACATGAACATGCCAAAATGTCAATTTACAAATCAATAGCGTGTGTCAACCTCTGGTTGTGATGCAAGCAACACATCTTCGTCTCATGGAATTGACCAGGCGTCGCACAAAGTCCTGTGGGATATCTGTCCATATCTGCTGGAGCATGTTTCGAAGTTCCTGGAGTGTCTGTGGGACATGTGGTTGACGTCGAAGGGGCTGATCCAGCTCATCCCACATGTGCTCGATTGGTGAGAGATCAGGGGATTGAGCCAGACAGGGGATAACATTCACGTTGTTTTGTTGAAAAGAATCCTGAACAAATCGAGCAATAAGAGGACGGGTGTTGTCATGTTGAAAGGTAATGTCTGGGCCATGATGACGCAAAAACGGTAGAACAGGGCCGATGATCTCGTCGCGGTAGGGCTGTCCATTGAGATTTCCCTCTACCACTATCACACAGGTCCTCTGTCTTGCTGTAATCCCACCCCACACATAACGCTGCCGTCCCCGAACCGATCTTATTCCATGACACAATGATTGACGAAACGTTCACCTCGACGTCGGTACACTCGAATCCATCTAGAGCTGTGGCTGAGGTGAAAATGAGACTCGTCAGTGAATAGAACTTGTCCCCACTGAATGTCCGTCCAGCGTTGACGCTGTCTGCACCACGGGCTCTTGACGGTGGTTTCCTGTCAAAATGGGATGTCTGGCGGGTCTTCTGGCGACAATCCCTGCACATCTGAGGCGTCGATGTACGGTTTGTGAAGATATTCGTCGAAGGCACTGTTGTTGGCCGGAATCAATTTCATAGGTGTGTTAATTGAATCCAGTTGTCTTGTCGATTATTGGTTATGCGTTGCCTGCCACTCCGAGGATTGTCTCTGACTGCATTCGTCTGTTGCCAACGTTGCCATAATCACCAAATGGTGTTTAATTGTCTTGCAACATCACGTTGACTCGAACCAGTAGACTGGAAACCATAATGATGCCTTATTTTCTGCCAAATGTCCTGAACGGATCTTGAGTTTTTGATTATAGAATTTCTTGAAATAACAGGACAGAAAATAGCAATCTGGCCTAGCATCAAGTCTAGTTGAGCATTTTTCACTAAGGCATCTCAACGAGCCCGTCAGGCCAATGGTGTCACCCTATTAAAAGTGGTAGGCGAGGTTCAGTTTACTCTCGGTCGTGGTAACTTGGAGTTCCAACTGTTGTGAAACAGCTGGATGTAGATGTTTTTGCAGGAAATCCATTCCCCAAGCTTAACGACATCGCGGCTAGATCAGCCACGAACCAAATCAATATTGGAGGATCCAAGGTCATAGGCTATGGCCAGCGATCGGACAGAACTGTTTCCGTGCGACGTACTCAGGCCTTCGTACTGAGAGCCGCATCCAGACAGACAATCATACTTCAACATGATACCCCTTTGGGCTCTGGAACCTAGCCTGGACAGTCCTAGCAATGTGTCTCGCCGCGAATAGCTGCAAAATTGCTGATCCGGTGTTAAGCAATATTCACACACACCTAGCAATGTGGGGGTTCCCATCTCAAAAACATGACCCCCATGTCAGGATGTTACGTCTAATGGTCACGTGATTAGAAGTGCAAACACAATTGACAATGAGTGAGTGAGTGAGTTGGGATTAACGCCGCTTTTAGTAGTATTCCAGTTATATAGCAGCGTGTCAGCTTAATGTTGGAGGAAAGCCCGAAGTGATGTAGGTCTCATACGTTTACCACTTCGGTGAAACCCACGAGCTCGGGTATGGTGCTGACAAACCTAGAAACATAATCGGGACGAACCAGGATTCGAACCCACAATCATAGGTTTCTGGTGTGCCCAAGGGACGCAACTCTGCACAGCGAATCGGGGCGTCTTAGACGACTGGGCCACCCGTGCCTGACAATGAAATCACACTTAAGAATTATGAGCACTTTTGTCAAGGGAGACCAATTACAAGGATTCAAGAATTCACATCCTGTGATGAACTAGCCAAATCTCCACCAACTGCAGGTATCTCGCGACCTTTTTCTAAGTGTGTCCTCAGATTCCATCCTTCCTGATGATATGTGTCAAAGATTTACCTCTCTCCATGAAGAGTTTGATGATGTGTTCAACCCTTCAATCTCCAACAATGGAGCGAAAAAAGACATGAAGGCTGTGGTTAACATGGGACCGACACTCCCCCTTCAACAGATAATCAATATAATTAGGAAATGATGGACATGTTACAAGCAAAGTTTGATGAACTTGAGGCACAAGGGGTATTCGCCAAACCGGAAAAGCTCAATGTAACAATTGAATACCAAAACATCAAACAACAGTTATCATTGTGTACAATTCTGAGAATACTACCTCTATTACATCATAGCCACAATTCCCATTGTGGCAATAATCACACTATACAAACTTTAGATTTTTTCCAACAGACGTCCTCTTCACTGAAAATTGTTCCATAGTTTTGAGGTAAATCCTATACCTTGTCAAACTGCACCTGCACATGTGGAAGGCGGGAAAACATCACTTCTTTCCAACAACCCCTTTAATCAGCTAGATATAAGATATATTTGGGAGGTGGGAAGGACCATTTCCTTATGTAATAGCGGTAGTATTCTTAGAATTATACACAATGATAACTGTTGTTTGATAATTCCTGTGAAAACCCTACCTCTATTACATCATAGCCAGTATTTACCAGAGGGAAAGGTGGGATCTGCCATCTTGTACTCCCGGAGAATTGGCAGCAGTAAAGTAAGGGAACATGGGTGAAAAGGGGAATAAACCAATGCCATACTTCTTGATGTCACCCTTGGCAAACCTGTAGAAGACTTGGCACTTGTGGCATCCTTCCCGTTTTTATGACCTCACAATTGTTACCTGTTTTGGTGATATATGACCTTCCTTCTGATGTTTCTCTCCGGTTCTAATGACCTTCATGAAGTCACCTCCGGTTCTGAGAACATCTATGACGACACTTTTCGTTCAACCTCTTGTGACATCATTTGGGTGTTTCATGACGTCACTTCCGGTCCTGAGGTCATCTATGACGCCACGTCCGGTTAATCTTTCATTGTTATGAGATATATACCTGTTGCTCTATAGCCAACCGCAGTAGCTGAAATATAGTATCATGACCATCATGTTGTAGAAATGAGGCTAATGCTGATCTGTAGCCTTCAATTGTACCATGTCTGAACCTGTTCTCATTTCTCAGGTGAAGTAGAAAGTCAGCCCCCATAGGTATTGTTATATTTTCGTCACGCAAACCTCTTTCTATTCGCCACTGGCAGAACTTTCTCCATCTCACGTTACAGATAGCTGAGGGAGCTGGTCTCCATGTGCTAGCAATCGTATCTGAGGCTGATTTAGAGAAGCCGGAAACTTGCATCTTTGTTGCGATAGTTTCCAGGCATGAAGGTGGAGATTTGTCAGGTTGCCGTAAAATATGTCCGATTTGGGTTGGTGGAGGAGATCGTGACGTTCTGGCAGTTTGAGAGGCTCTTCTATGAGAAGTGGAATCAGTCTTGGAAACCATCTCTGTTGGGCCACGCTGGGGCAATCAGAATCATGATGCAATCTGTGTCCTCGATCTTCCTCATAACTCTGTTCAGGAGAGACCAAGGAGGGAAGGTGCAGGCGAATATCCTTTGCCAACTCATGGATAGGGCATCGACCTGAAGGGCTGATGAATCTGGCGCTGGGCTGACGTAAACGGGAAGTCAGGAGGAGGAGTTTTTTTTGTTGTGGTTGGCAGGCAAAGCAACGATGAAAGCGTTCTTTCGGGAGAGTGTGTGTGTGTGTGTGTGTGTGTGGGGGGGGGGGGGGGGGGGGGGGGGTGGGGGGGGGGGGGCGGCTGAAAAGGGCTGTTTGAAGAAGAAGAAGAAGAAGAAGAAGAAGAAAACATGACCAACTGCTACGAATTCATTGATCATCCATTAGTACTGCATGATCTGATGATGACATGTAGTGGGGGCATGGGTGGCCCAGTCTTCTAAGGCGCCGCGATTCGCTGTGCAGCATTGCGTCCCTTGGGCATGCCAGAAACCTTTGATTGTGGGTTCGAATCCCGGTTCGCCCCGATTATGTTTCTAGGTTTGTCAGCACCATACCTGTCCTCGTGGGTTTCACCGAAGTGGTAAACGTCTGAGACCTGCATCACTTCGGGCTTTCCTCCCACATTAAGCTGACACGGCGCGATATAACTGGAATACTGTTAAAACGGCATTAAACCCAACTCACTCACTCACTCACTCATTCACTCACTCACTCACTCACTTTTACGAAGGTCACTCACTCACTCACTTTTACGAAGGTTCCTATGAAATGTTGAGTGTGAAAATAAGGACCGTCACGGGAACTGGAACGGGAACGGAAACAGGAACGGAAACTTCATCCTAGGAAGGCGACGAAAGCTTTCTCATTTGCGTTGCTCTGATTCGCATTCTCCTCACAGAGATCGTGTAGCTTTAGCTTCTTGTTGTGTCTCACCAGCCCTGTCAGCTTGTGGTATTCGCAGTGAGGGGACCACTTGTGGTGTTCCACCCAAGGATCGTCGTGGGACGCCAATCTTCTCAGCCGCACGGTGCATGGAAGCAGAACATACCATCGGCACTCTGCATGTACACGAAGCCCGCATGGGCCATCTCTTTAGCAGTCTGTATCATTTGCATCGGTCACACATCAAACGAGGCGACAGTGACTCACTGGGCGGTGACCTGCCATTAGAAGCATCCGTACCCTTACTCCTGAGTCCACAAGCATCTGCACTATCAGTCACCATGTCTCACTCACAGGTATCTGTACAGCTCTTCTTCGTCTCTGCCATTCTCGATGCGATGCTGATTTTTTTTCAGTGACACTGAACCCCCTCTTTTATAGGAGAGGGAGCAGATCGAAATGGTCCCTATTTTGGTTGGTCCAACACGCTGCGCGCCGATTGGTTCAAAACGCAGCGCAAGATTGGTCCATTTCGGAGCCTCAGTTTTCCAACCCGTCCAACCCTTATGTTTCTTTTCAATAGGAACAGGCCTGTTCCATGGGAGAGAAAGCACAACCCACTGTTCGACCAATCAGAGGCCACACACACCCTGTGCGGGTCGAAAACGCAAGCGTCTGATTGGTCAGATTTCTATCATGTTTTTTTGGTAGACATGTCCACAGCCACCATGATCGTGTTGTGGAATGGACCTGTGAATTCTAAAGGTGGATGATATGGACAGACATGGACGTGATGTAGGAATGTCTACATGATGTACTTCGTGACTCCATGTACACGTGTTGTCACTCGTGACTACAGCAGACGTTGTTTTTTTTTTGTATAGCCAAACGTAGTGTTGTCACTCGCTCATCCATGCCGAGGCGTTGGCACTTGTGTGTGACGGGGTTGCGTGTGTTTTTTTTACTCGTGTCTCCATGCAAACCTGGTGTCACGCGTAACTACAAACAGACGTTTGTCTAGGTGTAGATCGATAGACATACGTGACGTTGTCACTCGCTCATCCACGCCTAGGTGTTGGCACTCGTGTATGCCTACAAGCGTGTTGTCTCCATGCAAACAACGTGGTGTCACGCATGTCTTCAAACAGACGTTTGAGTTGATATATATATTTCTATGGATAGAGACCGATCGATAGACATACGTGGTGTTTTACTCGTGTCGCCATGCAAACGTGATGCCACTCGTGTATCCATCCATCCATCCATCCATACATACATTTTCTATGGGGAGACTGGGGTGGCCCTGAAAAGGGCCGTTGGAAAACAAACTGCAAACTGGAAACGATTGGAAACTGGAAAAAAACAGTTGAGCAGCATGTGCCATGCGTTAGTCACTTTGCTCAGATGACATTTCTTCTTCCTCCTCATCAGACTGATGCCGTCGCCGGCGCTTTGAAGGGAGCTTTCTTGCGGAGTTCTGTCATGTTTTCTTTTGCCTAGGCGTGGTGTGACGTCCGCATGGATTTGTGTGAGGCATTCTTTTAGGGCACGGACATCGTTATGCATGTCTTCTATGAGATAGAGCACTTGTGTCGACATGGATAGCGCTGCTGGAGTCTTCTTTTGACTGGGTTCTTGACAATCTGCAGCGAAATAGCCCACGGCTTGGCGGTTGTAGCAAGTGCCTTATATAAGTGCCTGTATAGACATAGTGGTGGTGACCTTGAGTGTGGCACTCGGTACATGCCACTTCAGGGCAGTAGCGGTAACTGTGACTGTCGGTCTGGCAGTTCATACAGCTGTATCGCGACAAGATGGATGATCTATCATATAGTGCTAGGACTGTGACGTGTGCTTGGCTTCGCTCTTCTTTTTTTATAGGAGAGGCACTGAAACCCTGCTTCCTGATTGGACGAAAACCCGACCTTCTCATTGGTTGGTTTCTGTCCCACACGCAACCCAGTTTGGCACAGAGGTTGTGTTTCTTTTCTATAGGAACAGGCCTGTTCCATGGGAGAGAAAGCACAACAGATGTTCGACCAATCAGAGTGTCACAAACCCTAGCTTCTGATCATTGCATTTTCGATCCTGTTTTCCTCGGGTGTGCATGATGATCCACTTTCGGTCCATTGTTTTCTTCAATGGCTATAGGATGGAAGTTACCAGTGCATGGTTTTCTCTCCGAACACACATGTCTTCCAGATAAAACGCCAACAGACAACACAGCGTAAAGGACATCATTAAAAAAGTCTAGTCTCTGTAACCAAAGGGACGTGCTTCCGGGCACTTGGTTTAGACGATGTGGAAATCTCTTGTGGTGGGTTGGGTCAGGAGATCATTCCTGTGGTGAAGTCCTGCACGGATTATCTGATGAGGGTGATGCACCGTGATTTAATCCCCCGACACTTGTCCAACAATCAGGCCTTTCATGGTGTCAAAGTTGAGGTGTTGACAGGCTCTGTAATTCAAGGTGAAACAGCCCACTTTGCTGGTCGTGTTGCGCGTTCCAACGGGTCTTGCCTGCTTTAACTAATGGGCATAGTTTTGGGGACCCCTTTATACGAACGTCTTGATGGTGTTTCCGCCCAGCTCATCTGTTAAATCACACAATGTATCACCTAGGGGTGGATTCCATTCCTCTGGGCGATGTCCGTGTCGAAGTACAAGACCCGGCGATCCATTGGCTTGAGGATGCTGTACAGCTTGAGATGCGCTTGTGCGGTGACCCAAGAAGCCACAGCAACATTGGAATTAGGATATGGCTTGTGGAGTTCTTTCTTGGGGTTATAGATCACCAACACCATATATTCGTTGATGACCATGACATCTCTCAACTACTTGACAGGAGTGCTGATATATGCTGTCTGACCATAGCCTAAGCGCTGACCGAATTTGCCCCAGTGCGAATTAAGACAGGCCTTGCCAAGAGCGCGAAGTCCTTGGTCCTTCTTGATGTTGGCCTTGTTCAGCACGATGCCTTCTTTCTGATAGATGCCTTCGATGTAAGCATCAGGATCATTACAACCCTTGGGGTATCCGCTGGCTTCGGTCTTCAACTTAAAAATGTGGTCGACATAACGGGGTAAGAGTCCCCCTTCCTTGGTCTCAGGATCATAAGTGTCAAAGGTGTCGAAATGCCAAGCTTCATAGATCTGAATCACTTTGTAGACACACTGCTTCAGGGTTTCTTGGACTTCTAGGATGGTGTACTTGCCCATCCTGGCCCATCTTCGTCCGTGTGCTCAAAGGACGTCTCTGACTGGGTTTCGGCACAAGTGCGGCACAAAGGAAAGAGCAGTTCTCCACCTGATCTGAATGGCAGTAGAGGATGGGAGTTGTGCTGGGGGTAGGACACAGCATTGGATAAGGCAATGCATAGGAGGATGGTCGTGGTGGGTAGGTTGTCCTGTGGTTAAGGTACCATACTTGCAAATGCAGGAATAAAGCGAACATCGACATACCGGATGGTTTCACCTTCTTGGGCCTCATAGTATAATTCGGTGGCATTGGTTCGTCCACCATAGAAGGCCTCATGAGGGTCTAGCGGGTCAAAAAAAGTGTAGGTTTCCGTCTTCCGGAATCTTTCCGGATACCTACCCATTTTGGATCCGGCCCGGATACCTTCCAAAAAAATGTCAAAATTTGGGGGGGTGCATTTTGTTCACTTAAGTGTGAAACACATAAAAAAATGAACTTGAAAATACCAAGACATTAGAAGGTTGCTGAAGGCATGTGGTAGGTTTCCAAAAGGTTTCTGGAAGGTATCCGGATGCAAATTTTCTTCATGTCTTGTTTCTGGTAAATAATGTTAGCCTGCGCATAACAGATAGCTGTTGTTATATTCTGTGTTACTTTAATGGTTAATATCCTCTTAAAACATTTTTGGAGAAAACAATTGTTCAATTTCATATATTGTTCTTTTCAGATGTAAATGGTATTTAATGAACAAACATCAGTTCTCGTATAATGGTATCCTTAAATTTCATGCCCAGACTTCCAGTTTGTACTGAGAAAAAGAAAAAGTGATTAACAATGTGCTCACTTGGGCCTTTGGTCCTAGTGAGATGATAATAAGACTATTTGTAACAGTACATGTACTTGTTACATCTAAAATGCTAATTTCATTGAAATTTGCCTAACCCTAGTTTTATGGTACTACTGTGAAATCTTTTATTAAAAGAGATTGAGAGTTAATTTGACACTGGAGTTGTAACCACTGGTCATATATGTGTATGCAAATAATATAACAACTACATGCTTAATACTTCACAAATATCTCCAGAAATAGGCATTTTAGTTATAATTGCAGAAATACTTTATGAATGACCCCTTCACTATTGCCTTGATCTTACACTTCAACCCTTCAAGAGTTATCACTTTTGAGTGTGAATTTGACCTTCAATATCAGTGATAAATATTTCAAAAACATTTCAAAGAGCTATCCAGCACAAAAACCAAATATGCAGTCCTTTGGTAGAATTCAACATATCATTGACAAAAATATGAAAATAATATAACCAGTATATGAATAAAAGTTACTAAGATTTCTGCAGAAAAGGCAATTTAGGGGAAAATGTAGTATATTTAGGTCACGCATGACCTTTTTCCAACTTCGACCCCTGCCCAAAGGAAGAGTTAGACCACAAACAAACTTTTTGTCTGGTTGTGACTTTGACCTTTGACATAACAGATCAATGTGTCATCAGACGTTCTCAGAGCTAAGGAAACAAGTGTTATTTATTCCTTAGATGCCCAAGCAATGCATGGTTTCATAAGATAAGTGTGGCTATTAAACTGAGGCAAAATCATGAAACATCCCCATTTACACAGCTGACAAATGAAACATAAGCAACAATCAAATTATCAATTTCATTTATTCATATGCCTATAGTATATCGCACATGATGGTTCCTGATGCAGTATGCAATTTCATCCTATTCTTCAATACTCATAACGGAGTGTGATAACTGTTTGTGTGACAGTACCCACGGATTATGTTCACCAGTTCAGAGAACTTACTTTCCCTCAATCCTCCTTTTCTTTCTTTATTGCCATGGATGAACAGGAACCAGGATGAGGGTGTGCCAGTTGGACTATCTCTGCTGCATAGTGTTAGTAGAATTGTGAACTTTCCATTTGGTGTTTGTGTCCACATTGAAAGACAATAAGTCCAATTTATCATTCCTTTCAAGTGTTTACCACATGGCTCAAGACAAGAATTTCTTGAATGTCCTCGAAGGATCCCACTCCAGCTTGGCATTGGTTGGTCTTCTCACATTAACCAGACCAGCCTTTGTGTGTCCCAGTACCATTTGGCATACAACTTCTCGGTAGGCCTCCATTGAAATAACAGGACCCTCGTCATCGCTGTCTGCAAATCACCCCTGATATCTGAAGGGGTGCACGCTCTGTTAAGGACTCCCTTCTCTGGTTCTTCCAGATTGTTCACCAGGAGTACTCATCCAGGGATCTCAAGCAGGACTTTAGTTTCTGCAGCATTATGTACAAAGATTTTAGCAATCAAAAATATTTTTTGCCACATATACTTACAGATAGAAGGCAGCAAAATCACTTAAGTTATCATATGTGAGTCTTGTTACATGCCAAACATTTAAGATAATTGCATTTCAAATCTCAACCAGACAAACCAGTGATAATTGTTATGAACTCGGTCCAGACAAACCGATGATAACTGTTATGGACAATATCCCACATCATTGTGGTATGATTACATGCGATCAATGAGCCTACTCGATCACTACCTGATCTATAAATTAGGCTTGTATGGCAAGCATAGACTGCTGGGAATCATGGGAAGTGATGTCATTTAGTGATTGTTCCAACTCATCATCATGGGAAAATATATATTTACAATCCTTGTCATATAGCCAATCTATTGCTGGATGCAGTGTTAAATAAATGAGTTGGGTTTAACACTGCTTTGGACAGTATTCTAGATAAATCACAGTCTGTTAGCTTGATGTGGAAAGAAAGTCATAAGTGATTCAGGTCTTTGATGAATCCCACGAGCAAGTGTATAACGATGAGAAACCTAGCAACATAATCGGGGAGAACCAGGATTTGAACCCATGACTATAGGTTTCTGCTAAGCCCAAGAGATGCAACTCTGCACAGCAAATTTTAGTGCCTTAGATAATAGGACATCTGTGCCCACAACGTTAAGGAACAAACTGAAGAAATATTTGCAAAATAACCATATGAACCAAACAGAATAATTTCAAAATATTTATCACTCACTGTTGCTCTTCTCTTGTTCCTCATTGCTTCTCTTCTATGGTCTTTCTTTGCATTGATGCTGCACATATGACTGTCTCTTTTATTCATCCGGATATTCTACAAACATAAGATGCATTGACATCACAGAAATGTCCAAACTGTACATGTTGTACATTTGATTCAAATGAAAAGACCCCAGTTGTGACTTAGAATTGCCCTAATTATAATAATTCATGTCAAACATTCAGAGATGACATCTATCCCCATATTTAACAAATGTCAAAACTATATTTTGACAACAAAGTCAGCGTCATTCAACACATACATTACATACGGAATAACTTGTTCGACAAAGCAGAAAGATCCTCACCAAGTCAATATCATTCCATGAATTATTGCTAAATTTTCGTGAAATACAGATTAATGCAATGCAGTATTTACTTTTATTTCTAGGCTATTTGTTTGGCTTTTCCATGGCACTGTTTTGACAGAGATCTAACATTGATATGACACTTTGTTCAGAAATTATATGAATAAGATAATACTTTATTATTTCCAAGGAAATTTGGGTTACATTGTAAAAGCACAGAGAAACAAGTATAAGATTCATGATTTAAGTTAAATACACTTATACATTCACACAAACACAACGACAAAACAACATCCAAACACAAATCAACTAATGAATCGGGTGGTCAAACTAGGTTGTCATCTTACTCTGAGGGCATGGATCTTTGCTGATAAAAACAATCACTAGATTGCCTGGCCCATGTTCAATTATTTTACAGGCCACCATCACAGAGCTCGAATATTGTGATTGTGAAGTTTCACATTGCATTGAAATATACCATGATGAATGCATGTAGTTTGTAATTATCACACACAAAAATACTCACTCATTACTTCGTATCCTCCCTGAGGATGTCTGTGAACCTCCCCACAAACCCTGAACATGCTGAAACAGAAAATAACTAACTTGTCTTAATCCTTTCAAAGTTTCAGTGTGAATTTGTTAAAGATTGATAAGCTGCCATTATTCATTGTAATCCATATCTCACTTTCAGGTGGTTCAGGTGTCAACACATGATTGGAATTGAATGCCACGTTTTGTATGACATGCACTTTGCCAGATTTATACCCATGGTAACTAACCCTTATCATCAAATCCCAGCGTTATGTTGAGAATAAGGACACGACCCTTAAAAGTCCTACGCCTGTAACTCTTATGCAAGCCCAAATCCAATGTCACAACAAACGCTTGATCATAATAATAACAAAAGGTTTCCGAAAACAACCAAAACTAAAAGGCCCTTGACATTTACAGTAGTAACATGGAGATCAGGTAAATATCTAAATCAATCCATTCCATAAGATCTCTGTATAGAAATCATGGAACATTATGTCTCGAAGCCCTGCTACGTACCTGTGGCATCCGCAAGCTGCTCTTCCTTCGGCTGTCAATCGAGTTTTCGAAATACTTGACGTCCTCGTTGTGAATGGCTCAGATGGATTTAGACCGGGATTTCCGAGTTAGAGGTGATTGAGAACATGCATCGATACACGAGGTAGGCATATCGCAATCAAGCATCACGGTGTACATCGATTACACGAGGTTTGAGTGTTTGTTTACATTTGTGTTCCAAAATGGCGCCCTCGGCTATACAGGGAATTATGGGTAGACTTGCTTGTCCCGGAATAACACGAGTTGGTCACGAATGACGAGCGCTCAGTTCTGAAGCAGTTACGGAAAGAGACGAGGTTTGCCGATTACAGTTAATACAGGCCATATTGGGAGCCGCGGGGATTTCGACAGTGTGTATTAGGAAGTATACCTACGTCGTGTATGGAATATGTGTTTGCCTACCATGCCTAGATAAGGCAGTATTGACAAGGGATATTCCAGCGGACGTAATATTCCTACAGCAGAAATATTTCACAACCTCGACAAAATTGGCGATTGCAGCTGATGTCATGCAGGGAGCTGAAGACGTGACATTCGGACAGAGACCATATTACATATAGACTGTTACATGGTCTCTGATTCAGCTAAGGAATATGTGAATAATATTGATCACGTATTAAAGTTATTTATCGTCTGTAAGCCACTCATTCAGTTTTATATATGTTAGTAAATGTGTGATTTAATTTTTGTAGGATAAGCAATCTACTAAACGTATGGTAATCTTTGCTAATGTATAACAAATAACTGAGAAATGTTCAAAAAGGTTTACATTAGAAACTAGCATCTACTCGCCGACTCTGATTTGGAGATGCAACTAAATTTATTGAAAAAATATTACATGTTTTGATTTCTTTGAAGTAAAATAAATGAAATTAAACTTGCAAACATAAATCATTGTGAAATGTTAATCACCTAAAACAATTTACATTAGAAATTAGCCTCTACTCAAATTAAAAGTATCATTGAAAGTATCCATTGAAAGATCACATGCTTTGAGGTTTGAAGTAGCTTCACTCAGATTAGCTCAATGTCAAGCTGAAACTGAGTCTGGCGAAAATGTCAAGGAACTGGACTATAGGTATACTATGTTTCATATTTATTTTAGTAAGTAGTTAATAAATAGTAATTTTATAGAAATTTCATATATATGTATCTCCCCTTTCTGCCAGGAACAAACATCAAAAGAATGTCTCTCCAGATAACAGACAACAATTAGTAGCCCTTTTTGTCAAAACAAGGTACTGTTTTCGTCCGAGAAATCAGTGACTTTTTGCTGAGGTGCCGTTTTAACCTCACCCATAAGAGATAACTTAATAGATCCGGTGATCAGGCACAGTGACCTGGTTCATGGCATCTGACAGTGTGGATTGTTGTTCACAATATCAATCACTGGATTGTCTAGAATCTTCGGCCTACCTTTAGAATACAGTACCACAAACTTGTCAAACAGTTTACAATACCCTGTGATGTAATTCGTAGTAATTTTTTTGCCTGACGCACTGGCAAAACAATGCCCTGTGATGTCAGGGGTCATTGGGTGTGCATATATATGCTGTTTTCAGTGGTCTATCGTCTCCACACGCTATGTTGTTGCATAAGTTTTAATTATTTGTTTACTAAATATTGCCTGCGGATGCGCATTTTATAACAAGTGCTTGTTCATGAAAGCACCTTTATTTTCTATCTGTTTTTATTTCATTTTTTACGTATTCGACTGGTTAAAATGATTATAATTTGAAACTTATAATGTGCAATAAGTGGGTTATAGCTAAAACGACACTGATTGGCGAAATAGTCGCCAAAAGCGAAAATGGCAATTATTTTTTTTAACTTGGTAAAATAATTGAAATTAAACTTGGAGTGATGACTTCCAAAGACCAATAATTATGAAATGTTAAAACAAGTTTACATTAGAAATTACCCTCTACTCCAACTTATCCTATATGCGACTCAATTTATTGTGATAACATGCTTGGAAGTTAAATATATGGAATTAGACACACATCATCTCATACAAACACAAATAGTTGTTAAACATTGAAACAAGGTTACCTTAGAAATTAGCCCCCTACTCCAATTTACTCGCCGACTCTGATTGGCAGACGCAGCTAACTTATGGTGAATAGATTATACGCTTTAAAGTTTAAAGTACTCAATGTCAAGCTGAAAGCTTTCACGTTATCGTTTCAGCCTTATTCATATACTCTTAAAATCACTCTCACCGTTTGTTTGTTTGTTGTTTAACGCCGAACATGTTTCTTTTCCCGAGAAGTATGGGGAGAGGAAGGGCTATAGTGACTACTCTCCCTAGATACAACGCGTCCTTTGTCCTGTGAACTTTCTGACCTGTGACGTGTATGTAAATTGGACTTTGTTTCATATCTGAATCATGTGATCTAGATCTTGTCGTATCCTTTAGATTTGCATGTTGTTTTAGCTTTTTTAAATCCTGTGATATAGCTTGGAAACGTTTTTTTATCTTTGGCTGCGGTCCCAAGACCAGAACTGTATGCCTGCTCCTTAGTTTTGGGTTGAGTTACGTGATTGTTCTTCAAAAGAAAAAAAAACGGGTTCTTTTTAATACATCACTCCTTTGGTGACCATGTGTTTCTCTTAGGAAGTCAGTTTACCTGAGAGACAACACTTTTCATATTTGATTTAGATTTAGTTTGGGTTTTGTGGAGAAAACGATGTAGACATTTTGTCTGATGATCTAGTCTTCCTTCAAACATTTTGGACATGGTTGTTGTCAGCGATTGGAATCATTCACTCATACTCAAGGGGGGTAATGGAATAGATTTGGGCTCCAATGTTTCTTAAAACCATGAGTGGCCAAACAACCCATAACACCCGGGCATAAGGCTGCGGTCCCAAGACCAGAGCTGGATGCCTGCTCCTTAGTTTTGGGCAGGTGGGTTGAGCAACATGATTTTCCATCAAAAGCCAAAAAAAATTCAGTTTACCTCAGAGAGAACACTTTTCCACATTTGATTTAGATTTAGACTAAGAGATCGATGTATATTTTTTTGTCCGATGATCTAGTCTTCCACCTGGATTTATACTTTAGAGGTTGTCAAATTTTTCTTTTGATGAGTCTCTGCAGTACGTGCATCTTGATCTTGGCGTGCACATGCACAAGTACTACATCTGTTGTAATCTTTTCGATCTTGTACTAGCTTTTAATTATTAACCAATACGTGTTTGGATTGATGAGCAAAACCTTTTGCTTGTTGATACAACATACACAGGAAAGAAATGATGTTTTCCTGCCTTGGGCATGCGCAGATGCAGTTTGACAAGGGATAGGGTTTACCTCAAAACTATGGGATAATTGGCAGTGAAGTGGACGTCTGTTTGAAAAAATCTAAAGATTTTATAGTGTGACTATTGCCACAATGGGAATTTTGGCGATGATGAAATAGAGGTATGGTAATTGCAGGAATTATGTCCTTTCTCGTTAAGAAACCAAGCGGCGGAAGTCTGTCACATCGTTCAGAAAGGTTGGCCAATACTGCAAACCCCCACCTACACTGATGCCACATGTGGATAAAGTCCTTCGGGTGATTGGGAAGAGGAGGTTTATTGTCAAAACAGACTTGCTCAAGACTTTCTACTAGATACCCCTATCCCAGAGTTCAATACAGTTCATGAAGACCCCCTACAAAGGCCTACTTTCTTTACTCACTGTCCTATTGGCATGCCAGGGTCAGAGGTGTACCTAGAAGAGCTGATGAGCTGAGTTTTGGGGGATCTTGTCCAAGATTGTAGAATGATCAAACTAGCAGATGATTTGTTTTGTGGTGGTAAATCTCCGGAAGAAACCCTCTCCAATTGGCGCATGGTCTTGTCTGCCTTGGAACACAACAACCTCCACCTGAGTGCAACCAAGACTATTGTATGCCCGAAATCTACCACTGTTCTTGGATGGATTTGGTCTGATGGAACCTTAAGGGCGAGTGCTCACAAGATATCCGCCCTTGTTGCTGTTCAACCACCTCCTACAGTACGGACGTCTGGCAGCTTCATCGGGGCATACAAGGCTCTGAGCAGGGTTCTGACCGGATATGCATCCTTGATGAATTCCCTTGACAACGCTGTGGACTGATGATCTCAGGAAATCCTTTGAAAGTGCCTAATCTCAGCTGTTCTCCTGCCAAACTATTACCATACCTCGTCCATCTGACCACCTGTGTATTGTCACTGACGCCTCTATCAAATCACAAGAAATCGCTGCAACTTTGTATGTCAACACTGATGGCAACACTGGACTTGCAGGCTTCTTCAGTGAGAAGAAACATCAGTTGAAGTGGCTACCATGCAAATTGGAGGCACGTGCAATCGCCTCCTCAGTCAAACACTTTGCTCCCAATATAACTGCCTCTAAAAAGCAAACTCAGGTTTTGACAGACAGTCGTTCCTGTGTTCAGGTGCACAACAAACTATTACGAGGTGCCTTCTCTACTAGTTCGAGAGTGACTACATTTCTATCTATCCTGAGCAGATATCAGATCTGAGTGGCACATAATTAAGGTGCTGCTAATTTGCCCTCTGATTATGCGAGTAGACATCCTGTTGAGTGTACTGAACAGACCTGTAAGTATATCTCAGAATCTGTGGCCTCTCATGTTGTGGATGGTGGCATCAACAGGAATGCCCAGACCTCCGCAGAACTCACTCTCAGCTGTCACAAGCAACCAGACCATCAAAGAAAAATACAGACATCCGGGATGTCAAACGCTACTTGAGGGTAGCTTCCATTGCCAGTAATAACCTTTTGATTGTGTCAGATGAGAAACCATTTCAACCAAAGCTTGATAGCATTATAATACCACGGACTGTCATCAATGGTTTCATCACTGCCCTGCACATTGGCTTCAATCATCCATCATGCTACCAATTGAAACAACTGTTAAACAGGTATTTATATGCACTTGACAATGACCAGGCAATCACTGATGCCACTACTTCCTGTCACCATTGTGCAACTTTGAAATCCATCCCATCACAATTGCATCCACAGTCAACAACTTGTTCCCGAACACTGTTGGCACCCACTTTGCAGCTGATGTCATGAGGGAATTTGTTGAGGGAATTTGTTTCATCCTTCACCCAAACCTGTTTTGTACAGAATGATCGACATGATCATTTACGCAACGTCATTTTCATTCTTTGCTGATTTTAAGCATCTTTGCCCAGATGGTTGCACAATCAGAGTGGATCCTACCCCTGGATTCGTTTTGCTGGCCAAGAATCAGATATTGTCACAGCAAGGTATTCACCTAGACTTAGGCTCCCCTAAAAACGTAAACAAGAACCCTGTCGCTGAAAGGACTATTGAGGAACTGGGTGTCGAATGTCTCCACTTGAGCCAGGAAGGCGGTCCTCTTTCTCCAGTTACTCTAACCTTAGCTACAGCCAACAATACAAGGATTAGAAAGGGTGGGCTGTCATCTAGAGAGGTGATCAGACAACGTGAACAGATTACTGGCGTTCAGTGTAAAATAAGGGACCCCCAATTTGCACTCAATCAGCAGCTTTACAGACAACTTAATCATCCTTCAAGCAGTAAGTCCAAGGCACATGGACATCTCCGTTCGTACCCTGCAGATATAACAATTGGAGATCTAGTATATCTCAAATCGGACAGAGACAACACTCATGCTTGAGAGACCTTGTCATCAGACTCAAAATCAGTTCAGATCCAAGATTTATGATGTTCGTCCCACTGATTGTTACCCTGTGAGAGCCACAGTTCTTGCGTCTCAACCCAGTGACCAAATAAGAGGTCTTATGGAGAAGATAATGTTGTTGAAGAGTTAAGACCACAATCAGCAACTGCCGATGAGCCTCATGCGCACGGTGACAGTGATGTTCATGACATGACAATGAACACTGGTGGATCTTTACCTTGGACCATCAGTTATCACAAGGAGGAAGAGGGTACAGACCTTGGTTGTTCTATTCCTCTGGACAAACCACGTAGATCCAAGAGACAGAGGTCAGCACCATCGTAGCAACGATCTGGCGACTGGATAATGACATTATGACTCTAAAATGCCATATACAAAATGGCCTTCAATGTTTTATGCCTGATTAAACAACTTTTGAGAGAGTCTTTTAATGCTCTTTGGAATCTTGAGGTAAGGGCTTGCTTGATTGTACCTCAAAAGTTGTGACATGTAGACATCAAAGCCTGGAGCTATATCATGTACTTATCCTGACTCATAGTGTTATTGTAGCCAAAAAGCACAATTATGGAAATTATGTAATAGAGGTAGAGGACTCATAAGAATCATAGGTTTCTGGTGTGCTCTCTATGCTAAATAAAAGCACATTTTCATCATGGTTGGAAGTGTAATAAGTTATTTACCAAGTCTTGAGGTATGCTCCAAATAACGCCCATGCTGATTCCTGCAATAAAAATAAAATCTACAGATAAAGAATTAATTATTGAAAAACAACTACCGGTAGCTGAAAAGTTATTCCTGACATTGGATATAATAAATCCAATTGAGTGTCAACTCAATAAAGAAGTCAACATACAAAATAATCTGAAATAGAAAATACCTTGAATATTCATGACCAATTCAAATTAACACTGTAAACAAAACAAAAATTATGGTCATAAAAATGTTTTTGTATCCTTTCTATGTGTTTGAATTTTATTGTTGGAGTCCAGCAAGGATGCCTATTTTGTTTATTCGATTCCACACATTATCAAACTAGCCAGGACATCAATAAATAATCCCTCACATACTGTTTCCTTGTTACCCATTGACACTGAGTTCCAACAGTCTAATATTAGTCTAAGTCCACTAATCTGCCATATCTGGTTAATTTCCTTACATGACACGGAGTTTCTATAGACACCACTGTAAGATATACATGCTACTCCAACCTTGCTTGTTACGTTCAACACATCCATCTATAATTTTTTAATAACAGTGACTGCCACTGAGCCAATTGAGCCACTGAGCTGCTTCTTACACATGAAAAATAACACCTGCAAAAGCAACTTTCATCATTGGTAATCTCATTGCCATGGTGTCGCAAAACTTTCTTCACAGTTAAAGGGGCACTGATCTAAAGCAATTCCCCGGGACTGGTTGTTGCCTTTGTTTTTGTTTTTTTCCTGAGAGTACACCAATGATATAGCAGAAATCTAGACTAGTTCGCGACCTGTGCTGCGCAATTCGTAAGCGCATTTGTCACTTTTATTGATAGTATAAGGGCCTATGGTCACATCTATCAACAAAATGAAATACAGTTTGGGAAATAATAAGGAAATGTAGGTATCCTTGTGGATAGCATCGGTAATGGTGACGAAGTTTTGATATGTCACTTGCTTGGTAATTGTGCGATTTTCGTTTACACTATTTTGACTTGCAACACAAAGTAAATATTTCTCCTGAGCATTGCTTATTTTATCGTGTTTATCTTTTTTACAGTTGAAATGTGCAAAATTTTCACTTAGGAAATTTATTAAAAGCCTGAATATTCAGTTATTTTACAAATTGGCACTATTGAAGAGCAACTTCCTCGTGGTGAGTGCTGGGTAGCACTAATAGCTCTTCCCCCGTGTGGAAACGGGGTAGAATATTTCCACAGCACCCCACTGCTGGTCGTAAAAGGCGACCAAAGTGGGCAGCCCGTTTGCTGTGGGTTGCGTCCCTGTGTCGGCGGAGGACGGTAGTCTGGTGGCTGAGGGCACTGGTTCCAGGAATAGCGTTCCTTTGCCCAATACACCACTTCGACCCTTACTTCGCCTAGACGGGATGGGCCCGGTCCTATCAATCGGCTGGTCATGCTGAGCCCTGTGCATTCAAAATTGCATTTGCACAAGTTATATTTCAGAATTGTATTTTACTTGAGGTTTGGCCCTGATTATTCTGACTGATGTCTCAATTCAATTTCAAATGTTTGTATTTCAAATGTATGTATTTCAATTATATGTATTTCAAGTTTGAAATTTGTCTCGAGTCCTATGCCAAGAAGGCGGTGGCTCATTGGCCAATCCGGTGGATTGATTAATTTTTAGTTAATTTGCTTGAGTATATCATCCCAGTATCCTTTGTGCGGCAAGTCGGAGATCTGCTTGTATTAAGCATCGTCATTGACACTCTTTGGTGGGGTAATGAACCATACACAAACTAACCATGGCACAACCCCCTAAAAAACAACATGCATTGGATGAAAGTTCATCTTTTGACGAAGAATATTCCTTGTCATCTCCTGATAGCTGGAACAGAGTTTTAGTTGTTCAATCTATTGATGGTGAACCTTTAAGGCTACATCCATTTGCTACTGCAAAATCTATCTATGGCATAGCTGGTGATGTTTAAAATGTCCGGAAAATTAGAAATGGTTTCCTCTTGATCGAGTGCAAAACTCGAAAACAATTAAACACTCTGCAAGTTTTTAAAACCTTGGTCACTACCCAGGTGAAGGTTTCACCCCATAACACCCTCAAAAGCTGTAAAGGTATTGTGAGAGATACAGATCGAATCCTCTCTGACCTGACCGAAGAAGAACTAACTTCAGAGCTGAAAGATCAAGGAGTTACTCACCTCAAACGCTTTACAAGGAAACAAAACAATGAAATTATCAAGACCAATACATACCTCTTTACATTTGCCCTTCACAATCTTCCTAAAGCAATCAAAGCAGGGTATTGTCACATTGGAGTAGAAGTATACATTCCAAATCCTCTCCCAAAATTTGGACATGGATCTCAATCATGTAAAAAAACAAAAACTTGTTATCGTTGTGCTGCACAACATCATGACAGTTATGATTGCACTAACAACCCAAAGAGTGTAAACTGCAATATGTCCTCCTCAAAAGTATTCCCTGTCTTCCAAACATAACACCAAATCATTAAAGTGAAACTTGAAAAGAAAACCTCTTACCCTGATGCAAAGAAATTAGTACTTGCTAGCCAACCACAAACTCTGCCATTTTCTTATTCCACAGCTGTGTTGAGAACAATAAACAAATCTGTTACATCAGTTGACTCCCAGACTTAGGTCAAAACAGACACATATTCCATTCTGAACACTGCACCTGTTCCTGAAGTTGTTGATCCTGTTCCTGAAGGTGTTGCTTCTGGTTCACAGACTCAGACGCAACATTCATCACCATCTCCAACTGTTAAAAATGCCAGCAAGAAAGTAGATTATTCACGCAAATCTGACAGAATCTCAAAGCGTCTCCGTGATCCAATTCAAGTTTACAACAAATATCAGATCTTGGAAGACATGGATGCGTCTCCTCATCCCCGTGGGCGCAGCAGAAGCAAGTCGCCACAGTCAGGGCAAAGTAGATCGCCCGTCCTTCCACCACCGATAACATGAACAATTACCATCTACTTATACAGTGGAATTGCAGAGGTCTAGGGACCAATTTTAATTAATTACAGTTATTAGTAGAGGACTTTCACCCATCAGCATTCTGTCTGCAAGAGACATATCTCAAGCCAACAGATAAGTTTGACTTGCGTAAATACATTTTGCATCATTTATTTTCTCCTCCCACTGTTACAGCTACTGGGGGATGTTCTATTTTAGTGAGGCAGGATGTGATCCACAACCCTGTTCCTCTGAATATCAACCTAGAAGCTGTCACAGTTCGATACACACTGCATGTAGTAGTTACTTTGTGCTCCTTATATATTCCACCCTCTTCAGCTCCTAGGCGGTCTGAACTACAGTAATTATATGGCCAGCTCCCGAATCCCTGTATAATCATGGGAGACCTGAATGGCCATAATCATCTATGGGGAAGTGCCAACACAAATTCAAAGGGAAAAGTCATTGGAGATTTTATCACTGACAATAATCTATGTATTTTTAATGATGGCGCAAAAATTTACTTACATCCTGCTAGCGGGACTTATTCTGTTTTGGATCTTTCACTTTCAGATTCCAATATGTTAAATGAATTTACATGGACAGTCCACGATGATCTTTGTGGAAGTGATGATTTCCCTTCTATTCTTACTGCCAACAACCCAGCTGATGAGCCGCCTTCAACGAGATGGAATTTTTCAAAGGCAAATTATGTGAGGAAATATTGACACCTGATATAATGAAAAATGTCCCTGATCCGATTCAGGTGTTCTCGGACAAACTATATGAAATTGCTCATGACACTATTCCTAAGTACTCTGCACTTCCACATATTCGAAAACCATGGTTTGATACACATTGTAAAAAGGCTAGGAAGATTAGGAAGAAGGCGGAAATATTTCCGTCGACATCCTACAGTACATAATCTCAGTAATGTGAAAATAACAAACGCGAAGGCACGGCGTTTGCCTCAATTTGTATCTCAGTTTTTAACTGACAGGCAATTTCAAGTCCGCATGGGCTCTTCCCTCTCTGATCATTATAATCAGGATAATTAATTTAGGATAATTGTTTAGTATTAAGATTAACAGTTTAGCAACTGTATTAAATGATTTGATTGATGGGTCATTATTTGTTGATGATTTTAACATTTCGTGTCGTGGCAAAAATATGCATACCATTGAAAGACAATTGCAACTCTCCTTAAATAAAATTCAGAATTAGTGTGAAAAAATGGTTTCAAACTTCAAAATCCAAGACAAATTGTATTCATTTTTGTCGAAGTAATAAACCTCAAAAATATCATGAATTGTCTCTTGACTATACTCCAACCAAGGTTGTTGAGGAGGCCAATCTTTTGGGACTTGTTTTTGACAATCATTTGACCTATTTGCCGCATATTAAGTATCTACAGACTAAATGCCTGAAGGCTTTAGATTTATTGAAAGTCGTATCAAATTCTAAGTGGGGAGGGGATCAGACAACCCTCTTCCACTTATACAGGTCTCTTATTCGCTCCAAATTAGATTATGGCTCGATTGTATATGGTGGAGCCTGTAAGAGTAATCTCGAAAAATTAGATACAGTCCACCATCAAGGCCTGAGACTATGTCCTGTGCCTTTAGGACATCTCCTATCGAGAGCCCTATGTCGAAGCTGATGAGCCTTCTCTTCACCAAAGCCGTAGTAAATTTTATCTTCAGTATATTACAAAACTACGTTCAAATCTATCAAATCCTGCTTATGATACAGTTTTTCATCCACAATATGACGGAAACCAAAACATATTCCACCTCTTCGGATTCAGATGAAATCCCATTTTACCGCTGCTAATATAGAACTGGATGCTGTATCTCCATACAGACTTTTATCAACTCCTCCATGGCAATTGGTTCTACCGACAGTGGATCTAACGCTTGCTATTAACAAAAAATCAGAAACCAATGACTTACAATATCAACAGGATTATATACAGTTACGTAGCAAATATGATTCTCATCGTTCTATTTTCACAGATGGATCCAAGGATGGGGGCAATGTGTCTAGTGCCACTGTTATTGGATCTAAAACTATCTGTTCCCGATTACCAGACAACAGCTCTACATATCACAGGCGAGTCTAAGGCAATGCTCACAGCCTTGGAATACATTCAACAGCAGCCCGTACATAAACAGTTTATTATATTTTCTGATTCAGTGTCCTGTCTTAAGGCGATTAAAAACATGTCTTCGGGTCATCCATTCATCTTAGATACATTGGAACTGTACACTGATCTTGCCACTGGCCAATACGACATTGTCTTCTGTTGGTTGCCCAGCCATGTCGGCATAGTGGGTAACACAATGGCTGATGCTGCTGCAAAAGCAGCACTCAACAAATCTGTGACACCACTTCTTATCCCATACAGTGATAATAAACCTGTGATTAGATGTTACATCCGAGGTCTAATGCAAAATAAGTGGGACACCTAAGTTGGTGTAAATAAGTTACATGCATTAAAACAAACCATCGGTTACACTTACTTGGGTTGTCAGTCCAGATTTGAAGAGGTCATTATGCGACGATGTCGTATTGGCCATTATCGTTAAACGCACGAATATTTGTTAAATGCTGAAGATCCTCCATTCTATATCCCTTGTGATGAATGAATCACCGTCAAGCATGTTTTGCTTGGTTGTGTCGATTTCTCTCTCACAAGGGATAAATTTTTTCATTCATCTTCTTCAAAGGATCTTTTTAATAAAGTCAGTACTCATTTAATTATTGAATTTGTAAGAGAAATAGAACTAATAGATAAATTTTGAATAGATGATATGCATTGTAAATAAGTTCAATATTAATATCAACTGAGATTATTGATGGTGGGTCCACTCGGGCGGTTAAAGTAGCGGAAAAATATTGTCCTCCTAGTAGTGCCACGTAAATCCATCCTCGATCAAGGTAAGTAATATTGACTTGTGTTTTAGAACTCAGATTGTATTGTCTTTTTTAATATTGGCTAGCATACAGTACAGCCACTGGTAGCCAAATTGATGGCATAAATCCTGCTGGGGAGTCATGCAGGAAGCATTAGTACTGTAAGTCCCCATGATCTCCAGTAAGGTGATTTAAACAGTATTTTATTTCCATTAATGTTCAGATTTTACATTACATAGCATTACAAAATGGAAAAAGGATTAGCAAACAGCCCAACAAGGCCTATATTACTGCTTTTCCTAATAGTGTACATCATACATGTAGATTGTAATGAAGTCTATAGAGCAGACATTAATGAGTAACACAAAATGAAATAAAATGGAAAGCAAGATACCAAATGCATTTTATATTCTTAAGTTGACACATAACTTACGTGAAGCGGTTTGTTTCAATGATGTAACTGTGAACTGATTTTATAATGTGTTCATTGTCTTAGGAAGATGAATCTTTATTGCCGTGGAGTATAGTATGTATGCTGAGCTGGTTAACAAGAAAGTATTTATCAATTCTAAATTTGGCATAGTGTGGACAAGATAGAAAAAAAAGTGGAAAGCATCTTCTCTATTTAGGCCACATGGACAGATGGGATTATCAATCAGAAATCTGTCAAATAAATGTGATTTTAAATCACTACAACCTTGCCTTAGTGTAGATAAAATCACCTGACATTGCCGCTGGCCATAACTAGCAAAAGATGTAAAATTTTAAGTAAGCTTAGTTTCTCTAGAAATTAATTGCTTAAACCGAGATAAGGAATCTACATTTCTAATATAAATATCAAGTGCATTCCAAACTTTTATAACAGATGGCAAAAAAGATCAATTATACTGGGATAAGCGTCCTGCACTGGTCTGGAAGTCATTAGAAGTACGAAGGTTATATCCAGTTATTCTGGATATATTAGGTGGGACCGATAAAGATAAATATTTAGCAGTTAGCCCATTGACTATTTTGTAAAATATACATAATTTATGGTAATGTCGTCTGTCGGACAGTGAGCATAAACCCGTTTCCTTATAAAGTTTGTTGTGACTGGTTCCTCGTACTGCTCCACATATTGTTCGTAGAGCATCCAAATGTAAATTTTCTAATAGTTTTACTTGTTCATTATTACAATTATCCCAAATATTATCACAATAATCAAAAATAGGTAAAATAAAAGATTTGTACATGGTTTCGAGCGTTCTTCGATTTAGACGGTATTTCAGGCTATGCAAACAATTAATTAATGGGCTCACTTTACGTACAATATAATCAATGTATTTGTGCCATTTTCCATCTTCCTGGAATACAAGTCCTAGATGTTTATGATCACTTACTTCAGGTATAAGAATATCATTCATTTGCAGAGGTAATTTAGGACTAGGATTAATTTTAGTAGAATATAATATGGCTTCCGTTTTAGAAGGACTAAATTTCCCCTGCCATTTACTTGCCCAGTTTGATATACATTCTAAATCACTATTCAATTTTGCGGCTGTGGATTCAGGATCTTCAATCATTAGAAATAAAGATGTATCATCAGCAAAAAGTTTAATATTACTCGTTATCCCATGAGTCAGATCATTAATATAAATAAGGAATAACAGAGGTCCTAAAACTGAGCC